GGTATCGCAGGTCCGAAAATTAGTTATCGCATAAAGCACTGGGCCATCTGTGCAACCCAAACTAACAACGAAGCACAGTGAACCTAATTTGACCGAATCTACACCCAATCGGCCAACCTGCACCTAATCTGACCCAAATGTGTACCAGATGGCCGTCGTGAAAATGGCTAATAGCCACACACTGCCGTACCTAAAAGGTGTGTTGCAGTTACGCGCAGTGCAAACGTTTATAATATGCTTTATGCTTATGAGTCGTTTACTTGGTTCCGCCTCGCGCCGCGGCCCCTGCGATTCATACTGCTCAAATGGTACCTACTGATCCATTCACAATTCTCATCAACGGGGACGGATCGGATCCCTGCAGTCAAGTTCAGCAGCAAACACCGTTAAAACGGTAGGTATACGGCGCTGTGCCGGATATGTTATGCCTAGTATTATGCTGCAGGCAGAGTGTTACATTATCGGCCGCATCAACATAAGCGTAATGAACACGATATTTTTTTTTTTTTTTGCTTAGGTATACCTACCTCTAGGTTTGCAATGTGCAATTTTGCACAGTGCACACTAAACATTGAACGTAGTGAATCTGAAATGTGCAGGCGTTAGGTACTTTCTCCTTTTAGATCGGAAGCACTTAAACCTTTAATGGCTAGGTCCTAGGTATCCCGTATTAAATTAAAATTAAAATGATAATAGTGAAAGATTTTCGGACGACTTCCCTGCCGTTCAAACGCGCCCTAGCTGCTTGTGATTCATAAGTGATAGCTCCGGATCAAAGTCCACTATTTCACACATCAAACACGGTCTTTGAGATCAAAGGAGGTTGCATCCAAAGTGTTCCCGGTCGTTGTGGACTGGTTCAATAAATGCTGAATGAATGAACGAAGGGGCCGGGACGATGGACGATGAGCTGGCTGAAAGATCGGCTAACCTCGACCCTGTGAGTGCCACCCATACGCCGAGGAAGCGAGTGATGTCCAGCGTTTGAGTTATGAGTCACCCGATGAACGATTGATGTCGGGAGTTTTATACCAGTCGGTGAGAGCGTATGAGTGACAGCGTCCTTGTAGCCACCGGGAGCAGGGAAAGGGCCGACTGGTCTGGGTCCAGTGACGGCTGGAGACGAAACGATTATATCATTCGTCTCCATGCAATACAGATCAAGTTTCCCATGCACTATACGCACTAGGCCCTATACGGGCTAGAGGAGCCGGCTCTGCAGCTCAGCAGACAGTGCGGGCAATTAAAGTGAATGAGAACGATAATTTACAGGAGGTTGGTTTTGTGCCATTTATCTCTGTGACAGTCTGGCTGTGGTGGTCGGATGACATTTGACGACGTGACTGTTATCTTTGATGACATTTGATTACAGGCATTGCGTCTGCTTCATTTGACAGAAATCGGTACAGGTCACCGTTAAAACTAAGTACCGAGTACCTACGAATGTGACTCTTTTTTGTCCTATGACCGTTAGATGGATATAGGTATGAATCTAATGACTATTTTCTATACGTCGGGCCGGCTGCTGCTTACTGTAGGTTACTTACGCATAATAAACGGCTTCGTCAACCATTGTCTGCTTACGAAATAATTATTGCCCGTGGGAAATGTTATCTTGTTATCCAATATGAATGGAAAAATATCGGAAAGAATTTATTTAGCGAGACAAGATAGGGTATCCCAGCCACAAGATCAATCAGAATTCTGAACCCCAATTAAAACGGACAGCTACTGTTGGCGATCAAATAAGAGACATACATAATGCAAAGTTTCTGAGAGGAGCAGGAGGTATGACAGCAAAATTGTCATGAAGACGGTGTCTAATAAACAGAAGGCGCTATAAAGGCATATTTAAAAGTATTGAAAGGAAAACAAAACTGGTCCTAATGTTGCGGGGATGATATTCAGACATCCGAGGTTTTGGCATCGCTCTGCGGATGGTAACAATCCAACCCTCCCGATATTTATTACCAATATAACGGCTAGCAATGTAAATAAGATGGCGGAATTTGTGTTGGCACCAGGCAGAGCCACAGACGCACCATTCATCCCATCTTGCAGACAGCCGATCGCTGGTTATTTATGCATCCTGCTCTAGTTATCTGACATTGTCATCATTCAAACGCTAATTTTAGAGACACGCAGGAGCATTTATATCGCCTTTGGCTACTGAGACAGGCGACAGCCTTGCAAAACACAGCGCTATAAAGAAGATTTTGGAAGCGATTTTTTAAAAGAAATAAAGTATCGCATCAGGCCGTGTAGAAAAACTGTTCAGTACAAAGACGTTCATCGTTTTTTTTTTTTTTTTGCTGTTGGATATCAGTAACGCCTAACGGTATACTGCAGTCGAGCTGTGATTGACCAATAGGTTCACTGATGGAGGCGCAGCAATCCGACGCCGTGATTCAAACAGACCGCAAATACTATCCGATCAGTCCTGACATTCGGAAAGCAAACCAAATTTGGCGTGAGCAATTTGTTTACGATTCACCAAATCATTTCTGAAATACGATAGGCGGATTGAACATTCAGTTAATAAACAGCAATCGACATATCGATCCAGATGAAGGTTGATCACAAACGTTTCATGACTTGAAATAAGTGTATGACATTCTCAAGCTCAGCGTCGGTTGAATCGTGACCGATGTTTACGATTGGGTCATATGAAAGATCGAGGAGTGAAACAGGCAAAATCCGCATTTGTTGACACACAGTCAACGATTTGCCTCCGACAGTTGCAAAACTTGTAAACGTATGTCGTATGACCAGTGGCCGGCGCTCAATGTTTGATTGACGTCAGTTAGCTTTCCTCATTAGGTTATAACCTATAGTAACATCTATAGATGTTACTGTAGACTTGCCAATTAAACCCATTTAGTAAGACCAAGTAAATGAGCGAAGTAGTGGCCACTGGTTGCAAGCAAAGATGTCGTCGCCTTTATTGGGGACGACAACACGAGAAAAATATTCGATTGAAAAGTGATGATTGGGTGCACAGGGACGTCACCGTAAAAGTATCGCCCAATCGTTTAGGTGCCATGTAGCATTCGCATTTATATCAAACATGTTATATTTCAGTGCTCTAGATCACGTTTCTGGATTTGGCCGGCCGACCGTCGGCACTTCGGGCACGAAGCCGTACCGTATCGTGTAGTCGGCGGCTCGGCCAGTTCTAACAACATGGAACTGGACAGTCTGTCTTAAAAGTACCGCGCAAAGTGACGGTGGATCCATCGAGCCTGACTGAGCAAGGGCCTGCTATATTTGGGTCACTGAAGCAACTGACATCCTTATCCATTCCCTAGGTCAATTGGTCGGTGACTTTTAAATTAAAACAGGCCCTTTCTCGGTCAGGCTTGATGGATCCACCGCCACTTTGCGCGGTACTTTTAAGACAGACTGGACACGGCGACTGAGCGGCCCCGTCCGCCGCCCACCGCCACACACAGGTCACGTGCGGGAGGCCCGGCCGCCCAGAGGTAATTCGAGACGACACCGCACGGCACCGGCAAATTAAACCGCGCCGCTCAGCCGTGTTAGCGACCTCATGCAGTGGCAAAATAACGCCGGAAAATCCCCCACACCTCAGTCTCTGATTATCTACGTCGAGGATGAGAAGGGCGCATATGTACCTATAAGGTTTTGCTTTTGGTGCAATAAGAATCAGTTTGTTCCTGCACATGTGCATGTCCATGTCTAGAATGTCCCGATTACTGCGGTGACATTAAACCCTTCATGTCTCAACCATTCAGCCTCCGTCGCCTCACGGAGCGTCCAGAGTCGGCCACTGCGGTCCCAGTCACGTCTCGGGCTCCGACGACTTTATTTGTGACTGTCTGTTTGATGGAGCGGACTTGGAATTTCCAACAAGGAAGCAAAATAGGAGCTGACATACAGGCCGGGCGTGCCATTCGTTTGACTGAACGCTGTGACTCTGACAGGCTGGATGGATGCTACAAGAAAACGGCTGCGCCACTTGTCAATAAGACATCGGAGGAATAAGAATAGCGGGGCACGCCCGGGGCTCCCACGGGGTTGGAAAGACGACTTAACAACCATGCGAAGAAATGTCCTAAATTACATTTATTTGATAGAACAATTACGTGCCTTATGCAGATGCATAATTCCTTTTCTCTTCTCACATACGAGATGGTAAAACGGCATGATAGAATAATATGGACAGCTGAGAAGATAAGATACCTACCGCAGTAGTTTTAAATGATCAAATGATAAAAAATGAGATTTCATAATAAATCGTGAGATTATAAGAGTTAAAGTAGAGTTCTAGTAGGCATAGCAACTTCATCCACGGTTCATCAGAACTTGCGTGTGAAGAAAGATTAATGATTATCTCGAAAGAGGGTCCCGAGACATGGAATAACGTCCAGGTGGCTTTATAATGATGTTTGCGTCATCTATGTAAGTGAATAAAGCATTGTATAGGATGATGTCAGGCTCCCAGCCAAAAATTGGCAGCAAAACCATGCAATTTATCATAAGAAGGAAATGAGCTTGCTTCTAAGAAGAAAAGCGCTGAAGGTATATGCAAGTTGCAACTAAACACCCATTGTGCCATCCATTTATCTTGATGGATCACGACAATCTGCGGCAAGTTCGCAGCGCCTGAAGTTCGTATAGCAGCACGTGTCTCTCCCGTGAATCGGTGCTCCCGTGTCACGAGCTGCGCTGGCCCGCGCGGCGCGCGGCGGGCACGCCATCGGGACTCGTGACGCCGAGTTTCACACCCCGGCCCGACCCCGGCCCGGCGCAGAGCGCTGTCCGCCGGACCCCGCACGCCGTCAGTGCGCGTGCGGCCAACGTTGCGTCAACTCTTACGACTACATTTCACGAGCCCTACTGAGCAACCCACGACATGCCGTCCCGTGTAACACCTGCGGCCACATAAAAGGCCCGCGGCCGGCTCCGGAGCTCACAGCTCAGCTCAGCTCACAGAGCAGCTCACCTCAGCTCACAGCCTGATCCAGCCCTCTCTCACCATGCGTCCGGCTACCGCAGTGCTCCTGCTGTCGTGTGTCTGCGCTCTGCTGGGCGGCTCCAGCGCGCAGTACGACGACTACGGCGGCGGAGAGCACGGCGGAGACTACGACGGCGACTACGGCGGCGGCTTCGGCGGGCACGACGGAGGTTTCGGCGGAGACCACGGCGGCCACGATGGTGGTTTCGGCGGAGACCATGGTCATGACGGCGGAGATTTCGGCGGTGACCACGGCCATGGCGGCGGCGACTTCGGCGGCGACCATGCCGGCGGTTTCCGGAGCCAGGGTGGCGACCAGTTCGGTGGCGACCGGTTCGGCAGCGAGCACCACGGCGACCACGAGCTTTGAGGTCGAATTCCGGCGGCGGCCGGCCGCCCGCCATCCAGCCTGGAGAGTTTGTTTTGCCGTTCTGTGCGTTACCCTAATGTTCTGTGTTGTGATTTGTAGCTATCCCGAGTGAATCATAATCGTCTTCAGCACCGAGACATCTTTCAGATATTGTTATAATGTTAACTGGTTGCAATACAATAAATATGCTTATCTCTAACTCCGAGTGCTATCCAATGCCTACCTGGCATGGTTGCAAATATGGCAGTCAAACGCATGCCGCACATTCAGCGTAAGTAGTTCAATATGCTCAGCCCTCCCCCGTCTGACCCGGATGCCGCCCGGGAGTACACCTGAGAGTGCCCCGTCCGGATGGTGGCGGGGCGCCGTGTGTATTCATGTTACACTCGCGCCGTCGTGGAGGGAAGTGCGGTTGTTGCCTGTCCCTGTGACGGACAGAACAATCGCCAATGAGCTGGTGTTGTGACACGGCTCTCATGAAGATCGCGGCCGGACGGGAAGGCTGCTGGCCCAGGCCTCGAGCAGGCCTTGATGTCGCGAGTTGTGGTATTTATTTATTTTTGGATATATCCTGCTACCTGAATCTCCCCCAACAGATGTGCTGACTGGAGCGGAACCCCAGCCCTCTTATCAGCGCCGCCGACCCCCGATGGAATGGTGTCCAATTGCTGACTATCTGCCTAGACGGCCGTGAAATTACAGTGCTTCAAATGAAGAAATGTGGTGCAAACAGACCGTCAACAAATCACTCTTCCACCGCGGGGGAATCGTGCCGCCGCATAACGGTACATTATCAACAGAACGTCTCATCACGGACACCTTTTACCCGAGTTCAATTATCGTTAAGTCCAATGAACCCATTACAACTGCCGAATCGCATGAAGACATCCAAGGTCTTGCAAGGAACCGATACCATCAATCACATACCTGCGTCAGCTAATACTCGACTAGCACCGAGATTAAAGTACCTAAAGTGTCTCTTAGACCCACCCTCAATTTGCGCCTCTAGCGGTCCGCCCACCGTCCAGTGCCGTTCTCCTAGCCTTTATGAACCTCCTCACGTCACCTTCTCTCCCCCCCCCCCCTCCCTTTCACGACCAGCCCAGGTCACCGATCCATCTCTGCCGCCGGTCTGCTCTCGACAGTTTCCGGGTGACGGTCCGGCGGTATCGGAGGCGTCTCATCAGGCCCCGCTGCTGGCGATACGGTCGTAAAACGTCCCACGGTGGGGACGGCCGTCAGGTCATTAGGAAAGTTGGCATAATAACGGTTTCAACGGAAAACCTTTCGGTAAGATAACAGTTTCGCCCCTTAATAAATGGAAGAAATAAAGTGCATTAACTGGCTAACACAACAATCAATCTCTCTTACGAGGCCGTCACTAGCAGTCGCATTACCGTCTCGTCTATCACCATAATGTAGCATTAACGCCCGGTTTGATAAATTTACCGCCACTCAAGAGAGCCGGCGATGAATTGTTGATATCTGAGACGCCGACTCAGCGGCAGAGCCGGCTCCGACGTGGAGCAGCTGGTCCTGGCAGCTATATCAGATCTCTATGTTGGCAGCACGTGTGACGCCACTGCGTACAAAGATTTTAGATTGGACTGACCCTCCATTCAGTTTCCTTCTGTTTGGCGTTTCATGGGACGGATAGTAGGCGGTAGTAGGTGCCCCTGAACATTGCAAAACCAGTATCGTTTTAATTTGTAAATTTCATTCGCTTTTTTGTATGGCAGCGATAACGATGGGCTCATAGGGAGACTATCAATATAACTTCAAATGGCACACAACTTCCATCACGAAAATCACACTGTCTTACTGTCTAATTGTATGGGACTGCCGATCAAACAGCATTTATTCCATAATTTTGCGTCGAGGCTCAAGCAGTCTGAATTTCATCATACGCTTAAACTAACGGTAAATCGTATTTGTACATACTGATATGTATGCGAAAACCTATACCTATTGGTAACCGCACTGAGTGATGCCATGCGCGATCCCCGCATTCCTGTGGGTGTCTGGGACCAATTAACAGCTTTGTGGCAATCACTTTGACTGATGTAATGCATTCCATTAAAACAACCACCTGATCGAAGGTCGCGCTTGGCTCAGTCGATGGGTAAAAGCATACGCTCATGTCATATTACAATGATGAAATGCGCATAAATAGCCGTCTCAAGTGCAGTTTGGCTTCCGAGGCGCGGACGACCTACTGCCGGCCGGGCCGGGACGTTTGTCAGCACATTCACCGGGGGAGTAGGTATACGCATCGGATCGGCGGCAGAGTTCCGAGCTGCCGATCTCCATGTATGCCAGAGACGGACCGACTAGGGACTGACATCACCCGAGGAACCGGTCGGAGCGGCGACAGATCTCAGTTCGGGCCATTGAAACGCAACCGTCCGCCTGACTTAACGCGGTAATCTCCGTCAGTGAGATACATATGCAGTCAGCGAGGCTCCCATAGCGGAGGAAAGGGATCCAGCGGGAATCTGAAGATCCTCTGCATTATTTCCACTGAGCGATGTGGGCCGGTTTCGGACTGCGTCGGAATGCACGGACCTGGACCGCGACCGCGGACCGGAGTGATTGGGGGTCAGCCGTCCAACCGTCCGACATAATACATACTTAAGTGCGGCGGGACCGCCAGATCGCGTATCCGATTTCCATCCATGATTCGGTCGGCAGGCAGTTGTCTCTTCCGTGCACAGTGGCAGTAGTGGTGGCATTTCTCGGAATGTGTGCGAGATCACTGCAATAAGCCGTGACGAAACCGTTGCCCCATAAGTGTACTGCATTTGTTACGCCCTCCCCTCTTCTCATATAGGTAAATGTCATATACCTTATACCTAGCCTATATAATTGTCGGACAGTTGCTTGACTGTTTTGCTGCACAGCGTCAGTGACTGTTAAGCTGTTGCATGTTTGGCTGCTGTCAAGCTGACTGTTGAGCGGTCACTGTACCTATCAACTTCCTTCGTCCTCAGAGTCAGTAAAATCAATAGCCATTGTCATAAACAAATGCATTATTCAGCAACACGTAAAATGAGCTCCCATGACTTACGCAAACACCCGTACCTAAAAATACACACACTTTTCCCCGGCCGATGGCCATAATGCATTAGCGGCTGGTTGGTTGTACATACTGCGCCGTGCATTGACACATATTGATGCGAATACTGGCATGAAAATGGCATCGGTCTCAGAAGAGTAAACAAGAGAAGCACGTCACCTAACTGCTCACATTACTGGGGGTATAGGAATGCCAGTTGAGAAACTACAAAACATCAACAATACCTACCAATGGATGACCGTTATCAAAGAACGTCAACAAAGAAACCCTTCCATCCGTCGTAAACTGCGAAAGTCTACATTATAGGATGCCAGTTACTTATCGTTACCGCATAAGTAAACGTAGGTATATGTTGCGCTCCACCTACTCAATAACGCTGGAGATATGCTGATCTGGCTTGCTGGTCCTACCCATCCATTGTCCATGTTTCCAGAGGAGTGTATCCTCCGGGTCCAGGGGTGTGTCCTCCGGGTCCAGAGGTGTGTCCTCCGGGTCCAGAGGTGTGTCCTCCGGGTCCAGGGGTGCGTCCTCCGGGTCCAGAGGTGCGTCCTCCGGGTCCAGAGGTGCGTCCTCCGGGTCCAGTGGTGCGCCATTAGGGTCCAGGGTGTGGCAGGCACGTCACCTCTCCTTTGCCGCTGACGGAGGCACCCTTTCCTTCCTCCCGTCAGGTCAGTCAGACGGACGCCCGACGGTGACATCTCCCGATCAGTGTCTGATATCCCGACCGGCGACGGCTGGTCCATGGATCGGAATATCGCGGTCCTCGGGCGCCGCCGGCTGAGCGCCTGCCACGGTCCGAGCGGCGGCCGGTATGTAAAACGACCGCATAAGGTCGCCCACGATGAAAGTCAAAGCCTATCGGTGAGTGATCGCCGCGACTTCCGGCGCCGTCTGCGTCACGGCTAAAAGCTCCGCAGCTCCCGTGCTGAGTTCTCGGAATTGGTGATCACCCGGCTAGCGATGGGTGGATTTTCGTGGGACATGTGCCGCGGCGAGGGGCCGCAGACCAGCCAGCCGGCGCGGCTGTCAATTAGTGGTGGTCCCAGGCAGGTTTGAGGGGACTCACTCCCCGCCAGCCAACTGCGGATTAACGGAGGGTTTTGTGTGCATTGAGCCTCAGCCGCGCCAAAATCTGCCCCTGGCGCGCCACCGTCTACCGCCAGCCAGCCACTACCGCCGCTGATCCCTCAGAGCCAGACATTGGAGCTGCTGTGGCCGGCCGCCGGGTCTGGTCTCGTACCGTTGGCGCCTGCGATCACAGACAACACGTGCCTTTTTCGTCTGCTGCGGCCGGAATACCCCAGTGAGCGGGTACGACAGCCTGGTAAACCGCTCACCGACCACGTGACCCGCCCCTGCGTCTGGGTGTGTGACACGTGACACGCCTATACCGTCTGCAGGACCGCCGTCTGACGTGTAGGCAGATAGGCAGCCGAGACACGTCAGTACGCTGGTGATCTGAATAGGCAGCGCAGGTCCGAGTTACCGCCTTCCTCGTCAAAATTCATGCATAGCTCACTAAGCTGAAACTCTTACGCCAATGGGCTGAGCATCTGCAAATAATTCCCAAATTAAAAACATTTCAAGCAACATTAGTTCAGAAGTTATCAGAAATCAGAAAAGTAAGCTAGGCGGCTCCGGATAGGCGGATAGGCGGCTCCAGCTAGGAACGGGCACCTTTAAGGACAATTCCAGACACGTTCTGTTCAAATTCCTCTGCAATACTCTGCTTTAGATCAGCGGCGCGTCCAGTGCCGTTCTCTGTACAATATCTACTGAGTTGTGTGGGCGGTGTCACGTCTTACCCACCGCCCACCTTGTCCATTAGTGCCTGTGTCCACGGATCGTGCCCGTTTTCATGAGCCGCAGGGCGGCTGGTCGGGTCAGGACAGTTACCAAGTGAGGTCAGGCTCCGGTGCCGTCA